GTTCATGCTCTCTCTCTCTCTGTCTCAAAAATAAATAAACGTTAAAAATAAATAAATAAATAAATAAATAAATAAATAAATAAATAAAAAAGAAAACGACATAGAAACTACGAATACTGGCTGGCCAGCCTCAGATATGCCGTCAAGGACCTATTGAGATGACCTATGTGAATAAGCTTCAAAAACAATAACCCCCACGCAGGTGGGTGCTGTTATTCTGTATTCTGTATACAGTACTCCCCCTTATCTGTGGTTTCCCTTTCCGCGGTTTCAGTTACCCGCGGTTAACTGTGGCCCTGGGAGCAGATGATCCTCCTGATGGAGGATGGTCAGCCTAATGTTGCGTCACAACGTCCGCGTCACTCACCTCATTTGTCTCATCGGGGTAGGCATCGTATCTCACATCAGCTTCGTAAGCCGGGTGAGCGCAGGAAGGTGTTTTGAGAGCGTGCAGGAGAGACCACAGTCACACAACTTTTATTATGGTATATTGTTATCATCGTTCTCTTTTATTTTTCCTTGTTGTTGTTCATCTCTCACTGTGCCTAATTTAGAAATTAAGCCTCATCACGGATGTGTCTGCAGAGGGGAGAACATAGTACCTGCAGGGTCTGGTGCTCTCCACGGGTTCAGGCACCCCCTGGGGGTCTGGGAATGTATCCCCTGTGGATAACGGGGTGGCGGGGGGGGGGACTTCTCTACTCATTACTGGAAAATGGTAGAGCCAGAGTAAAACTCCTGTGTCTACCCTGAACCCCTAGGCCCTGGTCTGTGCTATTCGCTCCATGGGGTTCTACCAGGACGCTCTTTGGCTCATATTCCGTATATAGGCCTTGCCCGTTCCCACTTCTCCATCTTTGCTCAGCTCCAACCAAAACCATGGGCGAACATCCTCGAAGGCCCTTCGGGCTCGCTAAGCTTCCATACTGCCTTCTCCGATCTGGTTCTAGGTTCTGGTGCAGCCATATAACTAACCACTGTGAAATCAGTCGTCTCTATGGGCCTCTGTTTCCTCATTTAATCAGATGAGAGGATTGGGTTCCATCTCTGAGGAGGCCCCACAACTGTCAGTGCTACGGGATCTGAGTCAAGCCACCCACCTTTCCGTTTCTGGACCCCCACAACCCTCTGGTCAACATCAGCCATAGCCCGTAACTGCTCTGGGTTTGGTGCACATGTCTGTCTTGTGTCCTTGCTTGTACTTAAGTTCCCTGAGGGTTAGAGCGATGCCCTGGCCTTCTGGGCACCTCCCATGTTGCCAGGCAGAGTCCTTCTTTCCTTCTGTCCCTCCTTTGTCCTTCGCTCTTCTTCCTCTTCCCCGCCTTCTGAGGTGATCTGCTTCTGACGCTGACTGCCTTACCCGCCCCCAATTCCCCTGTCCCCAGCTTGAGGCCAACTGCACCCCCGGTAAGTCCCCCACCAGGTGCACACTCAGCAGGAACAGTGGAGGGGAAGACAGAACAATGGGAAACCTGGCAGGGCTTGGGGGGGCGCAGAGACCAGGCCCTCTTCATCTTTCGAGGTGCCTGGCACATAGCTGGTGTGTTAAATTGAATTGGCTAACCACTGGGCATTATGAAATTACACGATAATGGATATTCATTGTGATGTGCCTGAGTCATCAAGAAGAGGTTATGCCATGATTTGCAATGTCTGTTATAAGAAGTGTATAATCTATTTGGGGAAGATTTATTTCCCAATTAGGCAAATTAAATACATTTTTTTTTTTTTTTTTTTGCACTTGAATGGATTGGCTTCAAGCGATCTGGAAAATTCATTTATGGGCAACACTTTATACCCTGACAATGGCGGGGGCAGGGGGGAGGTGGGTTTCTGTGTTCAGTGGCCTTTGCTAATCTGTCTTTACATGAATGCATCCTTGGTTGGTCGTTTCCATATGTGGGTTGACTCCCCAGATGGTCCTTAGCTTCCCATGGCCGCGGGATCGTGAGTTTCGCATGTTCAGCAGACCCTCAGCAAATGTGCGTTGACTGACTGCCCCCGCTTCCTCCTTTTTGGCCCCATTGGCTGGGATCCCGTGAGCTCTTTGCACTGCCTTGTGAGCCCCTGTCTCTTGTCTTGTCTTCCCCTCTGCTCTTCCCGCCCCTGTGTCTCTCCCTCACACATTCCCACGTCAGCTCCGTGTGCGCATGCGTGTGCATGTGAGCTGGTGGCTGTGTGTCCCCACCGCCGCCTCTTAGACCTGTCAGCTGTGCCCTTTCTCTGGACTACCCAGCTCAGAGCTGACCAGAGCACCCCTTCAGACGTTTCCTCACGAACCTCTCCACACGGGGTAGATGTCCTCTGATCTGTGTAATAGGGTGACCAGCGGGTGACTGAGGGGTTTTCTGGGATGTGAGACTCTCAGTTCTAGAATCAGGACTGTCCTAGTTTGCCTGGGACAGTTGGTAACCCTCCCTGTGGCGGTGCCCTGGGGCTTCCTTTTCCCTGTGGATAGTCCTAAAGCAAAATTTCTGTGAATCTAGTGTCCCCAGAAGCCCCTCAGATGGCTGGCGTGGGACCCAAGTATTGGTGTTCTTAGAAGGCTCCCTACGTGTTTCTAATGAACACCAAAGGCTGAGAAACCATTTGCCATCAAAGCCAAACCATAATGTAGGATGTTGGGTGGTTTCTTTTTTTTTTTTTTTTTTTTTTTTTTTTGCACCCATTAAGCTTTCCACCCAGAATACCTTGTCCCTGCCCCGGCCTCACGGGTGTTTTCTGGGTCACAGTGAAAGTGCCCAAGCCAGGTCTTATGTGTCATTTTACCTGCACCCACTTCAGGGCCGCAGAGGCTTGAGGACTGTGGCCCTATATCTCCTGCAGGCCCCTTCTGAGCTGACACAGCCCTGTTGTCGCCCTGCACCCCGGGCGTCCATCCCCGTTAACTCCCGGGACCTCTCCAGAAGTTTCTCGGTGCCAGCGTGAGATGGCCTAAGCTGACCAGAGGGGGGCCGCTTTTGCCTCACGGCCTGTGGTTTCCTTCCAGGAAGCTCTCCACCTTCAGTGTGTACATGGAGAGCCACGGCTACAACACGGAGCAGGTCTGGAGAGATATCGAGGACGTCATCATCAAGACGATCATCTCCGCCCACCCCATCATCAAGCATAACTACCACACCTGCTTCCCCAACCACACACTCAACAGCGCCTGCTTTGAAATCCTGGGCTTTGACATTTTGCTGGACCACAAACTCAAGCCCTGGCTGCTGGAGGTAGAGGGGTTGGGGCGAGGGGCGAACACTGGCCGCTCTTACTGGGGCCGGCGGGGGTCAGGCTCATGCCGTTATCCCCCCCTCCGCTCAGCCAGATCCTTGCAATCAACCTCCCGGCCAAGCCAGTTCATCTGCCCGGGGCTTGCTGCCTGGGGCTGAGAAGTGGCCACCAGAGGGGGTAGACGGCCAGGGATTAGCGAATTCCTTGTGCCTTCTTGAAGTCCACCCAGAGCGGGGGTGGGGAAACCGTTGATCTCAGGCGCAGAAAGCTTCCAAAGACAGCTTTGTCTTTTGTAATAGAATCATCTCCCAGAGAGGGGGTGTGGTTCATCAGAACTGGGTGATGATATTCGAGATCAGACAGGAGCTGCCGGGCCTGGCTGTCGGGGGGTTGGGCCACTCGGTTCCAAGCACCAACAGAGAGTGGGCTGGTGTCTGTGGCCGTGGGAGTGGGTGGAGAGCCGCTCAACGAGTTTCCTGTCTCCCCCAGACGCATGGCAGGGTGCCCCGCAGCACGTTACGTAGGGCGTCTAAACAGGACGGACTTTTCCGTGAGCAGGAATGAGTTCTGTCCCCCTCAGTCCTGCTCAGGGTCCCGAATGCATTGCTCTGGTTTCTTCCCCACCTCCCAGCCTGACCCTTTGGACTGGGTCTGGGTCAGCCAGACCCTCTGGCTGGTCTCCCAGCCAGACCCTTCCATCTGTCCTATGGGATGGCATGTACCTGAGAGAGCACGCACACCAGGGGGAGGGGAGACCAAAGACGGGGCACCCCTGATGCTTCTCGAGAGGAAAGGCCTGATGTGACGGGCGCCTGGGTGGCTCAGTCAGTTCAGCGTCAGACTTCTGCTCAGGTTGCGATCTTGTGGTCGGGGTTCGGGGGACGGAGCCCTGCACCAGGCTAGGCACAGTCAGTGAGGAGCCTGCTTGGGATTCTCTCTCCTCTCTCTGTCCCTCCCCTCCCCCCTCAGAATAAATAAACTTCTAAAAAATCATAAAAGAAAAAAAAAGAGGAAAGGGCTGAAATATACGCTGGTTAAACCAGAGGATATTCTCCTTCCTCCGTTTCTCACTCTGGCTGCAGTGCGGACTCCCCCTCCCTGTCTCTCCCCCCTCACCTGGTAGCCAGGGCCCCAAGCTGGGCTGAGGCTGCTCCCTGGAGGTGGCATTTTGGCCTCACTCCCTGCCTCCGCTCTGGACAGCCCAGCCCTCCCCCTCCCCCCGGTTCCTTCACAGGTCAACCATTCTCCGAGCTTCTCCACCGACTCCTGGCTGGATAAAGAGGTGAAAGACAGTCTGCTATATGACACTTTGGTCCTGATCAACCTGGGAAGCTGTGACAAAAAGAAAGTCTTGGAGGAGGAGAGACAACGGGGGCAGTTCCTGCAAAAATGTCGTTCTCGGCAGACCAGGTACAGAGGTGCCCCGAGACCCTGGAGACCCCACTCTCTGTGACTTCCCTGCTCCCAGTAACACTGGCCTGGCCTGGTTGTCAACGAGCCTACTGGTTATGTGGTCTTCATGTCACTTCTCTGAGCCTCAGTGTTCTTTCTGTGAAATGGAGCCAGTGATACCTAAGTGGAATTAAATGAGATAAAGGTTCATCACAGTGCCTGGCATGATAGGGTGTGTTAGAGACCGCGAGGAGTCTTGCCTGCTGGGGGCAGGCAAAATGAGTGAAGGGGGTTAAAAGCTACAAACTTCCACTTATCAAATAAATAAGTCATGGGGATATGATGTAGGGCATGGCGACTATAGTTAGTAAGACTGTATTGCGTGTTTGAAAATTGCAAAGAGAAGCGCCTGGGTGGCTCAGTCGGTTAAGCATCCGACTTTGGCTCAGGTCGTGATCTCACGGTTTGTGAGTTCAAGCCCCACGTCGGGCTCTGTGCTGACAGCTCAGAGCCTGGAGCCTGCTTCCGATTCTGTGTTTCCCTCTCTCTCTCTCTCTCTCTGCCCCTCCCCTGCTCATGCTCTGTCTCTCAAAAATAAATAAACATTTTTTTAAGTTAAAAAAATAAAGGAAGTTGCTAAGAGAGTAGATCTTAAATGTTCTCATCACAAGAAAAACATTTTTGTTAACTGTATGGTGATAAATGTTAAGTAGACTTATCGTGGGGATCGTTTCATGATATATAACAATATCGAATTGTGTTGTACACCCGAGAAACTAACAGGGTGGTATATGTCAATGATACCTCAATTAAAGCAAGTAATTGCATTTAAAAAAAGAATCTTGTCCCGAGTTGGTGGGGAGGGAAGTCAATTCTAACAAATGATAATCCTATTTGGAAAATTAGCTTATATGTGCAGAAAGGGGCCTTTTGAACTGTTTTACTGTGAGCATTCTTTTTTTTTTTTTTTGTACTTAAAAATAGGAGATTGGGGCACCTGGGTGGCTCAGTCGGTTAGGCGCCCGACTTCGGCTCAGGTCATGATCTCACAGTTCGTGAGTTCGAGTCCCACGTCCGGCCCTGTGCTGACAGCTCAGAGCCTGGAGCCTGTTTCAGATTCTGTGTCTCCCTCTCTCTCTGCCCCTCCCCCGTTCATGCTCTGTCTCTCTCTGTCTCGAAAATAAATAAACGTTAAAAAAAAAAATTAAAAAAAAAATAAACAGGGGCCTTCATTCTGTGGAGCGATTCTCGTGTCTGAAGAGCCTGAACTTGGTGGAAGAAATGCCTTTGTGGCTTTTCAGATCCCCCTGAAGCCCCTCTCCTCCCATGAGCAGAACCAACCCTTGGCGGGGGGGGGGTTGGGCTTCTGACGTGGAGGCAATAGCATCTACTTTGTGACAGCACTGTGTTTCTCAGGGCACTTTTGCGGGTGCCCCGTCTTCCCTGTGAAGACAGGTGGGTAGTGGGGGGTGTTATATGGTCCTGTCATTGGAGCTAAGGAGACCAAGCGTCTGGGAGGGGAACTGACTTGCACGAGGTCACCCCGCCAGGAAGTGACAGGTCTGGAGCCAAGAACCCAGGGAGGGTGCCGCTTGGGACTGCTCCGGGCTGCCTTCCACTGAGCCGGCTCTGTCTCAACTTCTCCAGGAGGAGGCAGCCTCCCTTAGGGAGGAGCCGGGGTCTCCCCTGAATCATCCTCTTGGTCATGGCTTGGCCCCCGGATAAGCTCCGTGCTCCCGGTTTCCCTGCTGTAAAAGGGACTCATCATTCCTCCCTCTCTGACCTCCAGCTCCCCGAGGGGCTGTGAGGGAGAATGAGATCATCGCAGCTCATAAAAGCTCAGCCAAAGAAGCTCTCACATTTAGCAACCTCTCCAGAGGAGGGAAATCAGGGCTGCAAAGGGGGAGGTGGCCACAGTCCGCCTCCTCCGACCCGAGCCAAGGGGAAACTGGGATCTTGTATGACGAGAGACCTTGGTGAGCAGCCGGAAAGACTGTCCCAACCAGCGTTTAGTGCCTCATGACAACGGCTGTCCCGAGAGGGCTAGAATCAGTCCTGCACATTTATTTAGCAAATACGGGTTGACCGCCGTTGTGTGCGAGGCCTCCGCCTGGCCCCAGGTAACATCCAGCTTGGCACGTCCCTTCCTAGAAAATCTACAGCAGCCTTGCATTCTGTTCCCCAACAGGATCGAGGAGGTCAAGGGTTTCCAGGCTGTGTGGTTAGAGAAAACTGAGAAGTACGAGAAGGAAAACTGTGGAGGGTTCCGCCTGATTTATCCTACTCTGAATGCGGAGAAGTATGAGAAGTTTTTCCAGGGAAACAACTCTCTCTTCCAGAATACTGTTGCCTCCAGGGCTCGGGAGGTGTATGCCCGGTAGGAAGGCTCTGGGTGAGGTGGGTGGGTGTCGGGGTGGGGGGGACATTATACTTGACCTTTAGGGTGACTGGCCTAGCACAGCGAGGAGGGTCTTTTATTTATTTACTTTTTTAATTGTTTAATGTTTATTTATTTTTGAGAGAGAGAGAGACAGCGTGAGCAGGGGAGGGGCAGAGAGAGAGAGGGAGACACAGAATCCAAAGCAGGCTCCAGGCTCTGAGCTGTCAGCCCAGAGCCCGATGTGGGGCTCGAACCCACAGACTGTGAGATCATGACCTGAGCTGAAGTTGGACGCTTAACTGACTGAGCCACCCAGGAGCCCCCCCCTTTTTTTATAAAGTTTATCTATTTTTGAGAGAGAGTAAGAGAGCGAGTGGAGGAGGGGCAGAGAGAGAGGGAGAGAGAATCCCAAGCAGGCTCTGCGCTGTCCACACATGGAGCCCCATGCGGGGCTCCAGCCCACAGACTGCGAGATCACGACCTGAGCCGGAATCAAGAGTTGGACGCTTAACTGACTTAGCCACCCAGGCGCCCCACGAGAAGGGTCTTTGAGCTTCAGTCCCCAACCTGGGAGTTGCCAGGGATATATTCGCTTTGGTCTCACAAGGACCAGGAATGCTAAGATACCCCGGTGTGGGGCTTTAAGTGGATATGTGGCTGTTTCTAGAAACTCGTCCCTGAGAGAGGCACCCTCACCCCTCTCCAGAAACCCCAGTCCCTCAGAACTCCTGAATCCCCACAGGTAGGAAACCTAAGAGCTGGAAGGGACTCATCCTGTCCCGTCTAATCCCTACCCATCACTCATTTTATGGAAGGGGAGGTCAGAGCCCAGAAGGGGTCACATAGCAGGTGATGGCAAAAGAGAAATCGGAATCTCTGTCTCCTGACCCGGGTGACCGAGTTAGTCCCACTACGTCATTGGCCAGAGAGGTGTAGTGGTCCAACACGGGGGCCCCTTGGTTTGGCCGCCTACCCCGACCCTCTTCCCGGCACCTGCCACGCGTGGCCTTTGGCCCGCTGGGAAGTGGAGACAGAGACAAGGGGGTGGAGCCCTGTAGAGCCGCTTGCTTTGCGTGTCTCCCTTGATGCTGTTCCCCAGGCTGGGAATGGTCTGGTGGGAGGAATGCCTCCCCCCTCCCCCCACCTCCTGCTCTGTGCCCTGCAATGTCATGGATGCAGGCCGGACACGCTGGGGGAAGGACATGTGGAGCATTGCCCTTCTTTTGCCGTGTCTCATCCCCCCCCCTCGGGGGACAATAGCCCGCATTTGCAGCCCACCCCTCACCTCCCTGACGCTCGCTGTTCCTCACGGACAGGCAGCTGATCCAGGAGCTGAGACTCAAACAGGAGAAAAAATCCTTCCAAACGAAAGAGAAGAAGGCAGAGACGCAGGGGGAGTCGGCCGGCGAGCGAGCGAGGGGCAAGAGCGCGAGGAGCTGGCCACAGAAACCACAGCAGGAACACAAGGCCACGGCCCCCGTCTCCAGACAAGTAAACCCGGCGGGGAGGGGCGCCCGTGTGCCCAGCACCCTTCCTCGGCTGGGGCCGGTCCGTGGGGGGCTGCTGAGGAGGCCCCTGCCCAGAGCCCTGACGCACTGAAGGAACGGGGGGGCTGCACGGAGGGCTGGGCCCCAGGAGGGGAGGGGGGCCTGGAAGTCACAAGGAGCCCGGCGTCCTTCAGACGCTCACCAGCCCTCCAGTGGGAGTGAAAGTAGCTAGGAGGCCAGGCACGGTCCCCATGTAGGCCGCGGGCTCCGGGCCCACTTGTACTCATAGGTCCCACCTCCAGCTTGGGTTGGAATGCTCGCCTCCAGCAGGCCAGGGGCACAGCTGGGGTGGGGGTGGGGGTGGGGCGCAGAGAAGAACATTAGGGACGCAGGACCCTCCCCATTACATGGGGTGACTGACCACAGCTGGGTCCTTCCAGCCTGCCCGCTGCTCAGAGTGTGTGGCCCAGCCCCGGCCTGTGGGCCAGCTGTCCCGTTGTCCTATCGTCTGAATCTTTGGATTCCCCCCTCTGCCACACTGTCTCTTCTGGCTCGGTGGAAGGACTCACGCTGGCTTTTTGGACCATCTCCTTTTTCTCCAACACTCGCCTGAAGGGGCAAGATTAGAGCAGGATCTTTTTTTTTTTTTTTTTTTTTTTTTTTTTTTTTTTTTTTTTTTTTTTTCTGTGTTTTTTATAACTTTGTTAGGGTCGTAGGCCCTTCGAGAATCTGATAAAAGCTATGGAACCTCTTGCCAGAAAGTATACAAAGGTACAGTTTTAAAACTGCAGTCTTTGGGGCGCCTGGGTGGCTCAGTCGGTTAAGCGGCCGACTTCGGCTCAGGTCATGATCTCGCGGTCCGTGAGTTCGAGCCCCGCGTCGGGCTCTGTGCTGACCGCTCAGAGCTTGGAGCCTGTTTCAGATTCTGTGTCTCCCTCTCTCTCCGACCCTCCCCCGTTCATGCTCTGTCTCTCCCTGTCTCAAAAATAAATAAACGTTAAAAAAAAATTAAAACAAAAAAACTACAGTCTTAAGTGGCTCGAAGATGTCATGAAACCATCCATGAGCCCTCTAGAACCACGGATTAGAGACACTTTGGGACCAACTGCTTTCCTTCTCTTCTCCTTGGCACCTACCCTGGGTGCAGATGCATCTGGAAATGGACACAGCTGGGTTCCCACGGGCCGTGTTTGGTTTCCTCCCTTCCCAGAATCTCCAGCCATTGACGTTAGTGTCCTGCACACCTGAGTTGCTCTTGAGTGTCAGAGATGCAAAGACAAATGAGACAGACAGCAGCCTCGCCCCGGAGGCCCCCACAAAAGAGGCCGGCCCTGCACGGCGGCACACCTCTGCACCTGACCTGAGGCACTCGAGCCTTCTCGGCTGCCCGGGGCTGGAGCTCGGTAACCCCCTCTCCAGAATCAAGGAGGTCAAGTCCGCCTCCGCAGTGAACATATTCACCAGCACTGAGGTGAGTAGAGTCCTCTACCTCCCCAGAGGGCTGAGCTCAGGGGGCGGTGGTAGGAGGAGTCTTGCTTTCTGGTGCCTTCTCTACCCCTGAGTCTTCACTGTCCGTCTCTGAGTGAGCCGCTCAAGCCTCGATTTCCCCACCTGGGAAGCCCGAGTTGTGGAATGGCACACCTGCTAGGAGAACGGACCCTTACTTCTAGGGCTTTTCAAATGTTAATCACAGGCCCACCAAGTGCTGGGTCACGACTGTACTCTAACTACTGGAAAAGCTTCAGCGTTGTTGGGCCTCGGCTCGGTCCAAGTGCAGTATAGAGCGGTGTAAGTGTTTTTCAAGTTTCTAACCATAGCCCACAGTAGAAATCCATTTTATTTCATCCGTACGTAGACACACACTGAAAAAAAACTTTCCAGAAAAGTGCTTGGGGGGGGCTCCTGGCTGGCTAAGTCGGGGGAGCAAGCGACTCTTGATCTTGGGGTTGTAAGTTCGAGCCCCACGTTGGGTGGAGAGATCACTTAAAAGTAAAATCTTAAGGGGCGCCTGGGTGGCTCTGTCGGTTGGGCGTCTGACTTTGTCTCAGGTCATGATCTCGCAGTTTGTGAGTTCGAGGCCCGCGTCGGGCTCTGTGCTGACAGCTCAGAGCCTGGA